TTAGCCTTATATTAATAAATAATTCCGAGAGTAGAATCTGCAAAAAATAAAAAAATAGATTTTATTTATGATATGAAGGATTAGTAATTTTGAAAGACGAAGCCATAGTTTTATTATTATTATATTAGAGAAAGAATTAAATTTTGTTGCACATAATGCAAGATGGAGATGTTTTATTGGATGAAAAATTAAATTATTAAATTATTATTATTTTACAAATTATTTCTTTTCTATAATGGAAAAGCTCACATCCAAAAAAAAAGAACAATATAATTGTTTAGTTTGGAAATAAATTGAATTTTTTTTGTCAATTTTTAATATAAACATTGGAGATCAAAGTCATATAATAGTATAATATATGAAATTCAAGAGTAGCTGCTAATTTTCAAATTTATAGTCATTTTTAATGGTGATCAGTGATTCGTGTTTATTTGCAATGATTCTTAATTATCAGGCCTTTATTTAAACATTTTTTAATTAATTTTTTATTCAAATCAATGTATATTGTTGTAAGTTACATTTTAATCGTTTTATTATAAAACTTCAAATTCTATAAAACCAAATTTCAAATGAGAATATATGAGCGCTATTTTTGAGCAGCTTCATATAAAATGCGTAGGTGAACACTTTAAGGTCACCACGTGGATGACATTTCGGGCGCGACTTCAATGTCACCTCTCTCCGCTCTAAAGTTCGCGCATATATACATTATTATATCAGATTGCACGCATGCAAATGCACCCCGTGCCGCAGACAAAGCCGCGAACGAAACTGCTTTGGGAAAATCGCAGCGCGCACTCTTCTGTTTGATGTGCGGCAGCGCGGTGTCGGAAAATAATAGGCACTGTCTCGCTATTATGACACCACTTGAAGTATGACAAAGTGCCGCAATAAAAAAATAGATAGCCCTATTAAACAGCAGCACACATACACATGTGCGGCGCACACGAGGCGTTAGATAAAGTGACTGACACTTGGCTGCTGATGATATCAAATTACCGCCCAGCAGTGGTGCTGTATGGCGGAGAGAGACACGGTGTGGTCACTTTCGCTTGGTTTTGCGTCGCCAGAGCCAAAAAGCAAAAAGAGACTTGGTTGACCAAAAAGCCAAGCGGACGAAGGGAAAAACTATTATATATCAAAAAGTAGGGGATTATGCTTGATTTTGGAATTAATTTGTTTTCAAATCTGGCCCTGCATATTTTTTTTATTTAGTTTATTATCTTATAGAATTAATTTAAATAATTAATAAGAACTTTTCGTTTCCAGTATATTATCCCAGTACTTGATAACTTGTAATCATGAATTAGAAAAGAAAATAATTTCTTAAAACTGTCATCAAAACTGCAAATGAAAATTTCAAACCACCCTTCATCCCTTAAAGAGTGTCAATTTTCAATTCAACAGGATGATCTTTAAAAATAAAAATATCATTTTTAAAATAAATTATATTTTTTGCTAAATAAATATCAGGAAAACGTTCAAACATCAAATAAAATTTTTTTTTTTTTTTTAAGAAATCACGCCTAAAAAAACTAGGCTATCTCAAGCTTCACGCAAATAACTGTTCCCGCTGGACCGATTTTTTCAATTTCCTCTTTCCAACCTTTGGTGTTGTTTGTTTTTCCCTCAGCCCCTTCCTCCCATAAGAGTTTATTCAGCGCTGCAGTGTTGCTGCTAGAGAAAGATAAAATTGGTCGACTCGCTGCTTTTTCACCTTGAATCTGGAAACATTATTTCTCTCCCCTCTGGCTCGTCTCAAGCAAGGTATGGTCCGACGCTACAAACTAACTAACCCGGCCGGCGCGCATATGTATCTGTATAGCCTGTTTTGTAATAAATAAATGGATGCTATTCTCTCCCCCTGAACTATAAATTACAGTCAAACAGCGATTCCTCTTCTGCTTCAGTGGCACTGGAATTAACAATTCCAATCGATGCCACGCCACCGTCCCAGAACATTTTCTTGCATCATAAATTTATCTGTGCTCTCCAGCACAGGCAGAAGCGCACCACACACTGGCTATTTCGGCCTCACCAGCACACAAACGCGTAATTAATCAAGGCGGGGTTGTGCCGCTGCGGCTAACTAAGTGTTGTGCACCCCCTAATTAAAAGACGCTGCGTCGGTCCAATCGAAATTCTAATCGGGTGCATCTGCAAGACTGAGGCTAGCTTATATAATAGACCACCCGGCCAACATGAGGGCTAAATTACAGGCGAAAAGTTAATCGGAGAGAATTAATTGACAGATTCATAAAGAAATTTTCCATTGAAAACAATTTTCATTCATCAGAATGTTGAAAGTCTAATTATAGCAATAGGTCTTAAGGATTAGTATTTGTTGCTTTATTTGCATTTATGCGATATTGAGAGCATATTAAAACTATAAAAAATAATTAATTTAATATCAGGTGAAAAAATATCTAAAGGTATAGTGAAAAAAAGTGATAATTGTCCTAAATTTTGATACCTGAAGTAAGATTGTAGTTTTTAAGTTGGCAAAAAATTTTAAAGATAATCATGTAAAGAATTATTTAAAAAAAATGTTGGATTTTTTATTATTTTTTATTATATTATAAAAACGGTCTTAAACTTTTAAGTAAGCAAGAGTTTCTTTTCTAATTTAAGATATTTTCATTCCTTCAATACTCTTGCTTATTATTTTTAAGAGTCTTAAATTAACTCATGCAATAAAAAAATAAATCAAATTATGTAAATATTTTTGAGGATTTGTACATTGTAAGAACCAAAATTATAACAACAAATTAAAAAAATTAGAATGTAAAAAATTTATTTTCTATTCTCTACTCAGCAGGGACAATGAAGAAGTTTCCTTATCGCCTTTGGTGCAAATAAGAGATTCTACATCAAAACATTGGTCACTTTGAGTTGATTGGCGGAGCAAATTCCCAAAACGGGGTTTCAGTCCGGCGGTAGGGAGGTCAGGGGGTTGTGTTTGTGTGCCGGCCAAGATTGATGTTTGCCTGTTGCTTTTTTATTTGCCGGTGTAATCCGAGGATAATTCTGGCGGCATTCATCAGCCGCGCGCCGAGTCAGATGGAAAAAAGGGGATGATCGGGGTGGTGGGGGCGGTGGTCGAGAAGAGATGGATGCACTGCGGGGATCATTGACCCTGTTTTTTCCTTCTTCTTCTTCTACCTGCCCCGTCGTCCCTCTTCATCTCTCACTCGCCCCCGAGTTTTCTCAGATCTGGCAATGCCGCCTCACCCACCAACCCCCCGTCCACCCCCGAAGCGCGCTTTTTCCTCTCCTTCGCGCCGCACCGAAAATGTTGAGGTAGGTTTCTGTTGCTGCAACGTCGCCACAAAAAAATGTTGTTATGAGCCAACGCGCCCGCCGCCGCCGCGGGCACACTCGTATATTTATTTTTGATTTGCGGCCGCTCCTATTTTTGCTTTTTACTGCTTTTTCGACGTGTCCACTCTGCCCATTACACCTAAATGCCGCGGAATTATCACCACTTTTGTGGAAATCCTTTGTCCTCATCTTTAAATTGCCTTTTATAAGTTAGCTGAAAACATCTTTTTTTTTAAATAATTTGTTCAATTAATTTATATTTTGATACCACTTTTTTGTTTTACCTTTTTTTAGTAGAAAAATAAAATTATGAAAAAATAATGACTGGAGACAGGAGGCCATGGGATCAATGTGAATGCTCAAAGATTTTTTTAAACTGAATATTAAATCCTTTTGGTTTGAACTAAAAATCATAAAATAAAGAAATTATTTCAGTTAATTTTAGGTCAAATGCTTTCATAAAAAAAAGTTTCTGCAAATACAATTTTTATTTCTTTCCCCCTGATCTTTTTTATTAATTTTATTTTCAAACTTTCCGTGTAGATTTGTTTATTCTAGGAAAATAAAATTTTGCATGGTATTTGAGTAAATGTTTGTTGAAAACAAATACAACTAAAACAATTTCCATCATTTAATATGGCACATCAATTGATCACCAAGGTAAATGGCCCTCTTCACTGCCTAGATTGGAAAAATTTAATTGGCGATCCCTTTATTGTTCTTTGTGTGTCCCACGCTGCGGAAACATAATGCGTCGTCGTGTGTATCGCTATTTGTGTTGCGCGGCCAGTTCTCTGTCTCTCTCTAATAGCCGGTTGTGAAAAATGATCAAAATTCCGAGAATTGGCGTCATCATGCTGCCGCGGTATCACTGGCCTCTATTATTAGGTGTAGTATCTCAGCGGCGCTCTCACAAGGTGGATGCGTTTTTTTCCTTCCAAATTGTTGCTGGGAGGGAATCCTCCCTTCTTAAATTCTCCCCTGTGTAATGCATGTGATGATATTTCACTACCCTCTCCCCAGATTTTTTCCCAGAAAGAATGTAAGCTGTGGCGGCGTCTCTCGCTCCGGCTATTAGCCTCGCTCTCTCTCTAGTGAGCGTTTTCCACTGGCAAAAGAGAAAAAAAATAACAATTCCATCTGCCAGGGTGGATAATTTAGTTTGGCCATAATTCATGAGATGGAAAATTATATTCCGAGGTCACCGCTATATTTATTAAATTTAATTCTGCCCTCTCAAATAAATCGTTTTTTTAATTAATAATTAAAATAAACTTTGAAGTTAATGGATAAAAATTGAAACTTGGAGACAGTGAGTCAATTTCCTGTGCCAATGGCCCACAGCAGGGATTCCTCAAAAGCACGTTTTAAGAGACATTATTTAATAGCCTTCTTCAAAACTCTGTGCACAAACACATAAACAGTTACAAGCGGTTAAAAGTACATCAGAAACGCTTCCTGTGCACAGGGGAGACGATAAAATTCCAAAGAATTTCATGTTGGAAATTTTAGCTCCAAAATATGAAAATTAGGTGAAAATTTAGAATTTGAAAAATCATTATTGCGCACATTCAAAATAAAATTTTAATACATTTCAAAAATTGGGCAATTCTAAAAATTTTTTTTACGATCATTTGAGGCCTTCGACCGCTGCAGCGCAGGAAATGAGGCAAGGTCGGAAAAGAATGACGCTATTGGGACGATCGGATGTCCTGCGCACAGTTCTATTTTTCTGCCATGAAGGGTTGGTCGGCTCTTTTGCTGTTGGCAGGAATTTTTGTGCAGGTTTGCTCAAATTTTTTAAAATTCATTCTTAATCTCTTCTTTGAAGAATGTGATCGCTGCTGAAAATAATGATGCTGCCGGGGGTGCTAACAAATTTGTTCAGGTCAAGAACTGGGTCCGTGCCTCGAAGCCGGTTTTGAAAAAGTACGAGGAGCCCAAACCAAACCGAACAAGTGATAGTTTAAATTTCGGGGAAATTAAAAAAAAATTATTTTGGTTTCGACAGGCAAAGCGTCCATTTCTGCGTTCATCATCAACGGCCGGAAAGCAAAAGCGAAGGAATTTCCCAGCCAGGTCGCGATTGTGATGGACTCAGAAAACTTTTGCGGCGGATCACTCATAACTGAATACCACGTTCTAACAGCTGCCCATTGCATTGAACCGTCTGTGTTTTTAATTTAAATGATATTATATACTAATGTGAAATTTTTGAAGATTCTCAAAATTTGAGGTGCGTTTGGGGGCTCTCAATCGTGAGAAAGGTGAAGATCACATTTTCACCGAAGATGCCATTTATCACGAGAAATACGACCCAAAAGAGCTGAACAATGACATTGGCATTCTATACCTGCCAAAAACTGTGAAATTTACTTGTAAATTAAAATACTGATAATTATATTTAATTTTAATTTTGTTGACTTAAATTTTGATTTTATAAAGCGGCTGTTAAGAAAACAGCAATCGCCACAATGTCCCAGACAAACAGACTGTTGCAAAAAGGAATGCAAATCATCGCGACCGGCTGGGGAAAGGATTCCGACAGATGTATTAATTTTATTTATTTATTTATTTATTAACCTATCTGAATCTGATCTGGATATAACTTTTTTAATTTAAAAGTTCATTCACAAAATCACATAAATTTTTATTTGTGAATGAATATTCTATATCAAAAGTCGTACCCAAATGGGTTTAATAAATAAATAAATAAAATTAAAATAATTAATGATTTTGATAATATAAAATTGCAGCTGAATCAATAGTTAGTATTTTGAAGACAAGCAATTTGAGAGTGCTGAATGGCATGGACTGCATATTAACTTACGGCCGAGCAAGTTTTAATGCTTCGTCTAAAATTTGCGCCATCGGAATCAATGGAGGATCCACCTGCCAGGTTTCCGCAAAAACTTCAAAGGCTATGAAATTTATCATTTTGATTTATCACAGGGGGACAGTGGTGGTCCCATCAGTGTGAAAGAGAACAACGTGATGTTCCAAGTGGGAATCATCTCATTCGGATCTACTTTGGGTTGCGAGGCGCGCCAGCCAGAAGTTATTACCAAAGTGGCCAGTTACAGAAGCTGGATCATAACCAACACTGGAATAGAAATTTGATTTTTTTATTACATTAAAAATCGGCGTCAGTCTCAAATGTTTTCTTCTCCTCAAAATTCTGTTAACAAAAATCTGTATCAGAAATATCTACAATTTTTTTCAGAATATTTTTCTATTATTTTTATTAATTAATCAAATTATTGATATTTTTGCTTTATTCTGATGCACTGTTCTTCACTCGTGAAAGGGTCAAGCCAGACTGTTTGGAGACGGCCAAATATTGTGCGTGTCTTTGATGACAAAGGTCCACCACGAGGGATTTTCGTCACAAAAGTTGCCGTTATGGGATTACATTGTCATCGATTTTTACGATGATTTTTCCGGTCGGGGTCTCATTGTGACCCTTGCAGGGTGGGCACGCGCCTAGCTCCTTTTTTCTTCGCGGAGACACAAAAAGATCGAATGCAAGAGAAAAGAGCAGGTCCGAGCGAGCGAGCGGACGGTCTGTGCTGGGTGAAAAGGGACCCGACACGTGGTGGGTTCAACCGGGTTGTTCAGGTATATTATGCATTTTACTTTTGGCAGTGGACCGTTTTAAGTAGGGCTTTATAGTGGACCCGCCGACCGGATTCATGAATGGGAGCAGATGAAAAGAAAAGTGTAGTGAAGAAAAAAGCGGGACATGCCACTGACCCTTTTAAATGCAGGTGACACCACAATAATAAAAAGTATAAACAGTGTACAAGAGTTACAATTTGAAATAAATTTAAAAGACTAAATTAAATTTAAATTTGCATTATTTATCGCCATAAACTATAATTTTGAATAATGAAATTGCCAAATTATCTAATTATTAAAATGTAATAAATATTAAAAAATGAATTAAATGAATTATGATTTATAAGTTATTTAATGCCGTTGCATAAATAATAAAAGCCTTATTTTGTTTTACTTTAAAAAAAAGAGTTTTTATCGATTATAATCTCAATTAAAAAATTCTGCTCACAGCATGAATAAGATTTTCTTTAAACACAGGGGTGCTTGATATATATTTAAATTTACAGATGGCCCTCGAACTATTGCAGATTTCATCTAAATTAAATTAAAATGGCACAAGGGAGAGAAACGTATATACCCGTCAAATGTTGCGCTTGTGTGTGCGGCTGTGCCGAAATCGCAAACAATTCTGGCTATTTCTTCAGATCAAACTTTTCCTGGAACCCATCACGATTATGCGCCTATAATAATCGGCGTGGGCTGTTGTTATTCTGGACGGGCGCGTTCGCTACTTTTTATTAATGTAAAGAGAAGCAGCCGAGGAACCTCTGGCCGAATTACATGCTTTCCCATATTAAAACACAGGCATTAAATTTTATATAATATAAATTTTGGCGTTCATCAGCATTGTGTCCTTTTCTTGGACCTGCAGAAAAGAGAGAGGTGCTGATGCCTTATGTTGTAACGTTGCTCAACTATAGGCGGGCTGGAATTTCCGCTTCAGCTTCCAATTAATTTCAATATGGGGAAGTGGAAAAAAATGAGGCTAAAAAAAACAATACAGAATATTGCATTTATGGCAAAATCTTTATTTTCATGGTTTGATTAAACAAAACTTAAATTTCTTATTCCAATTTCAATTTTTTTATTAAATAAACCATCTTAAGGAGTAAATTTGCTTTAACTCTTTCCAAACGGTCATTTTTTTGGTTAAAAATGTAAATTAAAAAAATATTCAACTATTATTTGATATTTAACATTAAGCACTTTTCCCTTAACGTCTATAACTCGTCATCATGCAAAAACTTGCAAGTTTTGCTCATTTGAAAAGTGCGTGTTTTGGTGGCCAATTAAAAGCGAATTTTGCTAGTGGTATAATTAACCTTGAAGCTCCTCAATGACTTTCGATGGACCAGCATCTTTTGCACAAGAGATAGATGATAATTTCGCGCGACCGGCTCCTATTCTTGTCTCGCAAACAACAGAGAGCAAAGCGCGCGCGTTTCTCCTCTTTGAAAAATTGCGTTTTATGTTTATATTATTATCTGCGCTTCACTCGTGCTCCGGCATTAGTTTTAATTTCGCTCTTTTTCTAACCTGAAGGTGAACTCTGTGCCATTACTCATGCGCCTAATGTCTTTTAAACATCACCGCGCGCGGCTACAAAGCTGGCCAACGGCTTGCAGCCAAATCACTTTTCCTTATCTATCTCTCTCCGTTGGAATTGCAAACTGACGATGTTCCAAGAGAAAAGATGCGAGATTTCAATCTGCAAGTTTGGAATAAACAGCACGAAGCTTTAGAAAGAAGAAAAATTTGTTGTAGATCAAACACAATGCAAATTTTAATTTTTAAAAATTTTTCAAGAAATTAAAATAATAATAATAATAATTAGCTTAAGGCTATGGATTTTGCAAAAAAAAGAAGCTAATTTCAGGTGATTATTAAATTTAAAGTGTTAAATTCTATTCTTGCTAAAAACCAAACAAAATTCAAAGAAGAAAATTTAAATTTCAGGCCTCATTGCCTTTTTTTATTAGATTTTTCAAGAAGTCTGACTTAAATTTAATTAATCAGAGTTTTAAAAAACAACAATGAATGCAAAATTTTGTTAAATGCTTGAATTGTTGGAAGTTTTAAGTGATTATTTGTCAATGAAAAGGAACTTATCGACTTTTTTATTTCTCCTGGCCAGAATAGAATCTTAATTAAAATAAATATATTTATTTATTATTAATATTTTCTAATTTCGTCTCATTATCTTAAAATCAAACTTGAGTAAAAATTGTCTCGTCTTTTCTATTAAAATATTTGGTTCGAAATATTTTCTGATATTTTTTTTTTAAATTTCTGTCACAATCAATTCGGGGGTCGAAACCCCCTTAGTTGGGTTTCAGATGGAAAGAGAACGCGGCTCGGCCGGCCGGTGGTCCTCCACGAGGCTGGAGCGGGAGAGGCGAGTGCGTGCGTGTGTGTATTCCGGGGGCGCACCACTGGTTGGTGCTTTTTTCTTGGCTAGAGGAGGAGCGACGGACCAGGCCGGCGCTCGCCAGCAGCCGCGGCTTCAGTGGCTCTCGGTCGGGCCTAGGGTGCAGCAACGAGAGACGCGACTCTGCACCTCGTCACGTGTTTGGCCTCTGAAAGAAAGACAGACAGACAGAAAGAAAGGTCACAGAGTGAGACGAAGCATGCTCGGCGGCGGAGGCTCCTGGCCAGGGCAGGAGCTGCGGCGCACGTGACATGGCGTCGAGTGCGGTGCACCACTGCCGGGACTGCGGCCTCTACTTCGAGTCGTCCACCTCGCTGGACGTCCACCTGCACTACCACAAGGACAACCTGCTGAGCAAATGGGCGCAGCAGCCGCCCCCGCCGGCCCAACACCACCTCCAGCAGCAGGTCCAGCAACAACCGCCTCACGATGAGCACAACAACAACAGCATCGTCGAACACGCCAAGGGCCGGCACCGAAGTGGCGCCGACGAGCAGCACGCCTCGCCCCTAACCAGATACACGCCACCTTCTGGAGGTAAGAATCCAGATTTTTCCATACATTTTATTTCCCGACATGGAAGATAAATTTTTTAATTAAATAATGTTTTTTATTCTATAATCAAGTTAAACGTGAAAAAATGATTGAAAAAAAATTAATTTTATTGAATCAAAATGTTTATTTTTATCAGTTCTTATTTGTTAAATTTTGTTTAATTGCATAAAAAGTCAGTTTAAACGATATAATTTTTTTTTAACTAATTTTTCTTTTAGTTTCTCAACCACTAATTATCACAGAAAAAATCAATCTTTTTTCCCCATGAGTGTAATGTAAATTTTGCAAGTTCCTCTGAGGCCTAACTTTTTCATTTATCGATTATTTGATAAATTTGTAGGAAATTAACCATTTTTTTTAAATTGTTCCCTTAAAAATCATTAATAATGGAGTTTCATCATCTGAAATCAAGTCCACACATAAATCCAGTTTAAAATTTCCCTCTTACGATAATTAATGAGAATAAATCCCTAGCTGGAAACTTATCAAGAATTTTTCTTTAAAAGATTGAAAATTACTATGAGAAGGTGTCTCTTGGCTCTCTAATACTTACAGTCGATTAAAATTTGCTTAAAACAAAAGAAGAACTTCACGGTTCTTGGTATTTTAATTGAATTTTCCCTTTCCATGATTAGTAAATAAGAGTCGGTTATTTTTTCATAGAAAAAATTATTGCTCTATTGAAAACAATAAACAAACAACCCATCGACGAAACGCCAAATTTCAATTTAAACACGGAGATAGGAAATTATTTATTCTTTTTGTCTCGCTTAAATGAAAACAGATCTATTTTCATTTTTCTTCATCAATGATTGCATAATATTGGGGATGAAAAATTTCTGACCAGGAAAATTTACTAAGTTTTTTTTTTTAATTTGTAACAAATTTGGCTTCGTTCATCCTTTTTTTTTTTTTTTTTTTTTTTTTTTTAATATTTTACTCTTGTTTTAATTTACGGAATCACTGCCTTCTCTAAATGAAAATAAGCACCAGAATTTGTTGCGCTGGGATCTGTCTCGGAATTTAGTAATCGCTCTCTCTCCCAGTGCTCTGAACTCCCTTTATGTACATTTTTGACGTATTATTTTTAACCAACATTAAAGCCTCATATTTTTGAAGTGCTCTCACAATTTTTGTTTGCTCTTCTCGAGGAACTTTGCATTTATTTTCATCGCTCATTTCTATGATAATCATCTTATTTATTATTTGTATAAATTGTGATGCACGTCGCTACTTTTATCGTTCAGCTCCATACTTTTCGTAACTCATTTTGGAAACAAAATCTATTCATGTAGCGAAACATTTTTGATTCTTATTAAATTAAAAAACTTGGCACTGATAGTGGAAATTTGCAGTCCATCAAAAATATTTAATTTGACTGTCACGTTACTTTTATTCTTGTTAACAAATATACTTTGTTTGTGCAATTAATTTTTTAAAATATCAATTTTTCGAGCAATAAATTGTTATTAAAAATTTCTTTCAATTTGAGACTAGGGATCTTTAAATAATTATGCTTACCAATAAGAAATAATAACAGAATTTAATAATTATTGATTCTGAATTAAATTATTGCATTTTACCTTTTTTTGAGTTAAAAAATATTTTAAAAATCAACTACACTAAAAAAGTATATTTAACATGAATAAAAAAATAGCTTGGCAGTAAATTTAATTTTTTTGGGGGACTACGAAGTTCCACTATGAATGCCTAGTTTTTGAATTTAATAAGATACAAAAATATTTTCCTTTTTGGATAGATTTAGGTTTTAAAAATGAGCCAAAAATTTTACGATATTTTGTGAATAATGTGTATCTTAAACTTGAATAATATTCTTTGGCCTCTATTTATCAAAATTTAAGTATTTTATTCAGTATTTCACAATTTCTCGTGCAATAAATTAAATCGTCATAAAAATTTCTTATAAATTTCATGCTTGACTCCGATTTACTACAAAAATCTTTATTCTAAAATTGATATAATTGTTTTCTAAATTTTTATTTCCGCTTTCTGTTGCAGGTTCTCCAGCATCTATGCAAGCAGTGCCGACCTCAACGACCGACGTCATGCGATCGCCAGGTCACAGCACCAACGGCTACTTCGTGGAAGAGCAGCCGACGTCATCGACGCCCTTCGCCACCGAGTACACCAACGGCGGAGGCCCGATGCGCGCCAACACCCCCTCGGGCGGGGGCATGCCGCGCTACATGCCTTACAACAACACCAGCCTGCAGCAGCAGCACGCCCCTGAAATGATGAACGGAGGCACGTGCTGGGCTTGTGGCTACACCGCCTCCACCATGGCCGCCATGATGGTGCACAAGTGTCCAACCCTGCAACACCAGCAGCCACCCCAGCCGCCTCCGCAGGCGCCGCCGGGCGAAGAACACTCGTCGCCGAGCTCCTCCGCCTCACTCGAGGAGCAGTTCTTCGAGCACACGGCCACCCCGCCGCCCCCGAGGCCCAAGGAGGAGGCCTCTGCCGAAATTCTGGACCTCGACTCGCACAAGGTCCACATTTACCAGCAACAACTGGAGGCGGACAAGCGGCGGATGAAGCGCGAGTTCCAGCCCGACCCCATGATGGGCTACATGGAGCCCCGCGCCAAGGCCAGGCTGAACGGCATCGACATGCCCGAGTACGCCCACCCCCACCACCAGATGCAGCCTCCGATGATGGGCTACCACCCGGGCCCTCCGCCCCCACCGGAGATGATGGGCATGGTGCCGCCCCCACCGCAGTACCTGCACCAGCAGCCCCCCGCCATGGCCATGGGGCCGCAGACGCAGCCGTTGCCGCACCAACAACCACCGCCTCCGAGCGGGGGCGGGGTCCAGACGCCCCCGTCGGGGGGCAACCAGTCGTGGAAGTCGAACGAGGCGCGCCGTCCGAAGACGTACAACTGTCCGGCGTGCAACAAGTGGTTCACCAGCAGCGGCCATCTGAAGCGGCACTACAACACCACCCTGCACAAGAACGCCGTCAAGCAGGGGGCGCCTGACCCCCTGAAGGAGGGCCTCGTGCACCGCTCGCTGCCGCCCACGCACCACACCACCAACGACTCCAACTCGACAGGTAACACGGCCTCCCCGGTTCCGAGTCTAGGCGAAGAGTCGTCGTCGAGGAGCGACGACAACACCCCCACCATGCTGCCCCCTCTCCACCCTCAGTCGAACGCAAGCAGTCCCCCAAACAGGGAGGCAGGTCTCTCGGAGTCTCTAACGTTGGCGGCGTTGGAGCTTTCAACTCCTGGAGGCCTGCAAGTTCCGCCACCATCCCCCAGCAGCAGCAACAACAGCAACAACAACCGACCCCAGCCCCATCCCAGCAGCAACAACAACAACAGTTTTACACCCAGCAACAGCAGCAACAGTACTACCAGCAACAACAATTCGGTAACTTTTACCAACCATCTCCTCCCGCCAAGCAGCAATGGGCCGCTGCCGCCCCTCGGAGGACGCCCGGAGGCGCCTTCCCCTCACCACCCAACCCTGGGTGGCTTGATGCCAGTCCTGCACAACCCCCAGCCGCCAAGTACGGCCAGCAGTATGGTGGTGGCGCCACTTACAGCGCCTACCAGTACTACTAGGATGTACCCGAACTACGACTCGGACTTTTACACCGGCGACCATGCACCCACCTACACCCAGTTGACCGAGCGACACCATCCTCCGGCGCCGCTGCCCAGCTTTGCTCAGTTCCACCACTACTCGTACGAGTTCGTGCAGCCCCGCACGTCGCCGCAGGCCATGGCCGACATGTGGTCGTCCATGCACTACCACCACCAGGAGGTGCCCTCCATTCGGTCTCAGTTTTCCGAGAGCAGCCTCGACTCGGGCGGCGACCGTCAAATGTCGTCACCCATGACTCGCAGCACGCCCTCCCCTCGCCCGGTGGTGCCGACCTCCACAGTGGACGACGCCGACATCAAGAAACGCCTGATGAACGGCACCACCCGGGGGAGGGGGCGCGGCCGAGGCCGCGGCAGGCCGCCGGCGTCCAGCTACGGCGGCGTCCACAAATGCCTGGACTGCGACAAGGAGTTCAACAAGGCGTGCTACCTGACGCAGCACAACAAGAGTTTCCACGCCGGGGACAAACCGTTCAAGTGCAACAAGTGCGGCAAGCGCTTCACCTCCGAGTGTCTGTACCAGGAGCACCTGAACAAGCACGCCGGCGAGAAGCCGTACAAGTGCGAGATCTGTCCGAAGCAGTTCAACCACAAGACGGACCTGCGCCGCCATCTTTGTCTGCACACCGGCGAGAAGCCGTACACCTGCGAGACGTGCGGCAAGGGCTTCATCCGCAAGGACCACATGCTGAAGCACTGCGCCACCCACCAGCGTTACGGGGACAGCCGCCGCGGCAAGAAGCCCAAGGTCGTCGGCCACGTCTTCTGAGAAGTGTCCCGCAATTTCCAGTTTGTACATAATTAGCGCGCGCAGTCGCCAAACTGTTGCCAAAATTGGACAAATGAGAATTCGATGGTGCCAATTCAATTGATAATTTTCACAGATTTTCATTCCTATTTTTAAATTTAACAAAATGCCCAGACTATATTTGAACTAATAATTGCTAATTTTTGTTTTAAACTCCGGTTTATTACGAATTTTGTTTTTGTATATGAGCGAAGATCTCCTTGAACTCGCTTTTATTTTATTTTTTTTTAGAGTATTTCCTTTTTTACTTCTGAGCGCGCCAGTACCTAGTTCTGCAATTGATTTCAATCACACAAACACTTACACGCATTTTCCCATAGTGCTAATGATTGCCATTTAATGGAGACCCGTTTACTAAAATCGTGTATTTTTTGGCACTTTTACAGTCGCGATTGACTTTAAAAAAAACCTATCAAAATAATGGCAGCTTCAGAAGAAAAATTGTCATCATCATCTGTCGAATTTAAAAATACAACGCAAGCTCAAACCCTGACAAAAATCGCCCATTCCTTGTTAAAAAATTATACCGGTATTCAAAATATCTCTAGTATATAAATAATTTGTCTCGAAACTCCTACATATCCCCAAACTGGTTTCACTCAACTGGATTATTTTGATTAATTGAAGACTGAATATATGATATATCAATGATTTTGTTGCATATCAATAGTTAGAACGAGATGAGCAATTTTTAATCCTGTTACATTCCCCCATGTATATCATATTAAACAAACAACACATAATTAATATTGAGAGCAATCGTGCGCATTTTAATTATTTAAAAACTACATAATCACCGACAAAGCACTACCTCACGCGGTAACACATAATACAAATTGGGGTTGTCCTTTCCTGTTTGTGATTTTTTTATCATTCCTGCTATTTAAAAAAAAAAGTGGAAGCAACGAAAATTGTAATGGGCGCTAAATTTTCACCGTCAAAAATTATTCAGGGATGTCCTATGTACAGAATTTTCCATTGACTAATTTTTGCAGAAAACCGGGCTTAGTGCTGCCAATTAAAGATCTTACGCAAATTTTTTGAGTGCAAGGAAAAGAGTGAATGTGTGCTTGTGGTGAACCTTGAATGTGTGTTGCCGAGTGGCGCGAATACGTTATTAATTAATAATTGAATTAATCTTTGCTGTAAATAATGTTGAAGAGCATTTAACGAGGATATATACTTAACGAGTAAGGCGTGAATCATGTCGTTATTACGTGTTAATGCTGGTTAACGTGCATGGGGAGCTTACAAGTGAATTTCTGGCAAGGCGCTGGATTCCTTTTTTCCATTCTGAGAAATGACAAGTTCCTCGCGCAAAAAATTAAGCTCCTCTGTCAGCTGAAAAGGAGTGTACAAAACGAATATTACACACATAAAACTCAAGAACAAAAATTTAAAACAACACTTGTATTTATATGACAAATGAAAAACTCAAAATACTGTAACGATATTAAGAGAAATCTACTACCTCTCCCTTGTATGCTTAAAAAAACACTCAATACATTTCACACACAAATTCACACAAGACATTAAAAATAGGAGTTCAAAATTTGAAGACGACAAAAGTATAAGCAATAAATTTAAACAAAACGCGGTTAAGATCGCCCCTTTTTCCAGAAAAATCTGTTTGCGTGGATAGTTTTTGTGCAGAGAGTGGCTGAGAATCCGGACTCAAAGGGTTGTAGAACTACAAAACAAAATTAACGAAATTGTTGTAATTTTCGCCCTCATATCTTGTGTATCAGTTTTTTTTCTTCTAAAATTGTGTATAATTGTTGTAATATTTCTAACCAATACTTTTGCTTATTTGAAAACGACGTTTCTCTCAGGTGTTTTAAATTATGATGCGTTATTGACTCAAGTGTACACAGTATTTGCCCTAAGTTGACCGATGGAAAAAATGACTCATTATGTATGATGCTGATTTTTTTATGGACGAATGAAGTAAATAAAAAGAGAATAAGAATTAATTGTGAATTTGCTTTAACAACAAAAATCCTTGAAATTATTTTAAGAGAAAAATTTATTAATTATTCATTAATTGAAGTGGCCAGGCTAATTTTGGAACCAGTTTAGGTTCAAATCATTAGCATAAAAAGTAAAAATCCTGGCTCAAACTGAAAGGAAAGAATTTTGCATAGTTGATGAGAGAGGAGGAAGAAAAATTTGCGCTTAGAAAAGAAGGTGTGAGATTAGACGAACAAGCGCGAATATTTGACCATGAAATTTTTATTTGCTCGGACGCGAATGCGTGATGTCTTTTATTATGGCGAGTCATCAACTCGGCGAAATAACAAGGCTATCATCGGGCCAGCATCTCTCTCAGCAGCCGGCGCGCGAAAATAAAAAAAAGGATCTCCGCGTGGCATGCGAGAGAGCGAATGGCGAGCGAACGAGAGAGAGGAAAATTAACACTCGGGCATTTTAAGTGTCGTGAATAAATTATTTTGGGATGTTGCGTACACGGCATGTATAAACGCTGCGACTAATCAGCAATAATCAAGCAACAGCACGACTAGGCACAAAAATTTGTGGACGGCAGAGTCACCACGAAAGAAGAAGATGAGATTTTTCGAGCGAGCTATGGGATTTCTGCTTTTTGCGAAATTAACTTTATATTTAATGAATAAGTCAAAGGATTATTTTGTTTATTGCTAATAATTTTAAAATTGTAAATAAATTAGCATGAAATAGCGAATTTTTAGTGCGGTAAATGGAAAAGGAGTTCCAGCATCAATAATAGAGTGAAAGTGAACTTGAATAAATATTTGATTTTTTTCCTATTTATAATTTCTTTTTAATTACTCATTTTGTATTTATTTTATGAAAAATCAGAAGAAATCATGAATGATCTTTGGTTTATCAAAATTGTTTCAATTTTCAAAAAAAAAAAATTAACACGAGATATTTAAATTTATTTTATTGAATTTTGTGATAATGTATAATATTGTCAATTAAAATTAGCATCAGAGAAAAGCTTTAACGCTTATAAATTATATTTGACTTGAATAAACGCGGCTGAATGGATCCAATTATCTTTTTTAATCTGGACCAGCCAGCAAGGGAGATATTTTCATTTGAGCTGCTCGATGTTGACTTTTGATGGACGCAGTTGATTCGCAACGCTCCTTTCGGCCTAAATGGAGAAAATCGAAAAGCTCCCTCTTTCGCTCTCAAAAGAAGGAACTCTTTTTTTTCCAGCATCGCAAACGACATGTGCAGCAAATGGGGTAAAGTGAGGGCATTATTATTTTTATTATATCGTCGCTGCACCTCGTTGCCGCGCGAAAAGAAACGCGCACGTCAATATATAATAAAGCGGGGATGGCTGTGCTCGTAGGAGAATGTGTTTGTCATCTGCGGGCCTGCATCGTGGGAAATAAACAACCTTACATCTGTACCAAAGGCTTTGCGCGCACAATGAATGAGCAGCCGAATCATCCCCTTCCGTGCTTGCTCATTACTTTGTATCAAATTGGGAAGCGGCCGTGCGTTTCAAACGAAGAGTCGAGGTTTGCGTTCAAGAATATTCTTCTAAAAAAATTAAAATAAAAATGCTAAAGAATAATTCTGAAACAATATTTTATTGCTACCACGATTTCTTTTTCGGTAAATAATTAACATTGTGAACAAAATAAAAATTAAATTTGTCTATTAAATTTTTTTTTATTTCCATGAATTTTTTTTTGTAAAATTTCAATCAGTCTTTATGCAAAATTTTATTTTTAAATTTTTTTGGTATCAAATTATTATTATCTGGAGCAGATCTGGAGTGATTTGGAGACTGGATAGATGATATATTTATGCTTATTTAATCAGATATGTGGCAAATAAGGATTTCTTATTAAAAGTGTCAATGCAAGGCTTTAACAACAACGGTGGTTAAAATTTCCATTTTTCCAATAATTTAATATTATTGATGCCAATAAGAAATCCTTAAATGACAAAAAAGCTAAATTAAATTCAAAATTGCAATTGATTTGATTTTTTGTTACTTTCATGAAAAATTTCCATTTATTAAATTCAATTTTAAAGTATCTTCCTTAATTTTTTTAACATGAGATCGTATCTACATTTGTCACAGAAAAATAATTCCTTTTAAAATATAAAACAAGCAGTTAAAAAAGGGAAAATTTGGAGGAAAATTGTTTAAATTTAATATTTTGTACTCTTTTCCCATACATTTGATCTTGGTTTTTTTTATTAAGAATCTACCACTTTCGCAATTCATGTTTCTCTCCAGCTGCCACATTTGCGATCCTCTTCAACCCCTTGCGCGCATGATAGGTAAAAAATTGTTGGCAGAAAGACGCAACAGAAAAATGTGATGAAAAGGCAAAAAATGCTCGCTCTCCTGAAACTCACTCACACAATCGCTCTGTTGGGAAGAAGGGGCAAGAAAAAATACATATAAGCCGTGTATAGAAAAGAAAGAAATCGGCGTGGCAGCGATGCTGCTCTATCAGCTCAAGCTTAGGTGTGGTCATGGTTTCGTTGCTTCTTCTTTTTTTGTACATTTTTCTGTGTAAAATAAATATCTAGCGTGGGGGTGCACTTTGTGTTGCGAGCAGCGTGGCTGCTGCGCTGGCGCCACATTCTCATCCGAACAAAAAAATATCTCGGCACAGCGAGGGGTCCCTATTTTTATCTGTTTCGGCCGCGACGTGTAAATCTCGCGTCTACTCTTTTGACAACAACAATGTCTGCTGCGGGATTAAGTCTGGCGGAAAATAATGCACCCGCGCCTGGGAAAGTGCAACTTTTGGCGACGTGTCCTGGGTGGCTATTTTTCTCCTTTTCTTGTCCCTTGTTTTGAAACCTCCAGGTATAGGATTATCTCAAGAGGTTCCCACAGACGGCCGGCGCCGAATTTTCCCTCTTCTGCACTGGTCACTCTGAAAGGATCAAAACAAGAAAGGAATTTTCATAAAAAATAAGGAATTATTCTCTTTCACACAAACAGCGCCTCTTTCTCTGCAACTCCGCAAAAGCTGAAAGTTTAATGAGGTGAGACTCTTTAAGAGGCCGGCTGCGTAGGACGAAACCTTGTGGGAACAACCCCGACCGAGAAAGAGTTAATTCGCAAGAAATAAGACGATGGTGTGCGAGAGCAGCGCTGATTATTTTTATGTTTATTGGTTCGTCGGCGCTGCGGGCTCGGGATCCATTAAATGCGCGGAAAGAGGGCGGCAAAAATTGAGCAACAAGTGGCGCTTTTCTTTATTCTGCCTGCTGTGTTGCGCCGGATTATTATTATTGCCATACAGAATATATATAAAACTCTAGTTGAATATTCGATGGACTAGCCACAACTTTTTGTACGGTTTGTTTGTGATTTTTTCTTTGGAAAGTAACTCATTTGGCTCGTTAGTTATTTTGAAACTCCAAACTGAATTGCAGTGAAATTATAATTATCTTATTAATTAATTAAAATTAATTGACTGCTTCTGTTGTTTTTGTAAAAGTTTCATCCTTTATTTATCCATAATCATTTGTAGAAATTCTATTTTGGATTTTGTAACCTGCTTCAATATTTTTAGTAAAATTTGCAAGATTTTCATTTTTTTTTTTTAATTAGATTCGTTTTTTGTCATTTTCTTATGAACAATAATTTAAAAAATGTTTTTCAAATAAATAATTGAGATTTTGAATTAAAATTTTCCTAAATAGAAAAAAAATTAATTTCAAGGATGAATGACCGGAGGTTGAACGAAAGGTCACCAACCTACTATATAAGTATTCTAAAGCGGAAATGCCTTGGAAACAGATTTTCCATCCAAATGCGTTTCTCATGACAAAAGTTTCCTTCCCCAATTCCTTTCAACCCTTTTCTCCATATCTTCATGCTCTGCAGTGAAAGAGCTTTTTACAAAAGAAAAAGCTTCTCCTCTTGGTCTAAAAATACACTCGGGCGCACAACTGCAATAATATAATTTCTGTGAGAATAGGCCGAAATTATTTACAACCCCCTCGCTGCTCATCGGCCGAATATATATCATTTGTCATTTTCCTTTAACGAATTGACGTGTACATGTGAGTGGAGAGTCGGACTTTGCTGACGAAATGCACGCACGCTGCTTTTGTTGCCGCCGTGCGTGGAATTGCTCTCGTTTCTGCGAGCAGCCCTTTGTGTCCTACAAACAAAGCACCTTGCCTGTTCTGGATACAAATTCGAGAGTTCTGCTGCCAATTCAAAACAGCCACCAGTTTTTTTGTTGTGTTTACCTTTGCATTGAAACTTTGAGAGTTGCGCCAGCCACTGTTTTGACCAATTCGACGGTTTTCCAATCTTTTAAAAACGAAATGGAAAACCCGATATGAAAAATTATTAATTGATGGAGTGAAGAAAATGGGCTTTGTTATCCTCATTGAAAAAATATTCGCTCCGCCAATGGCATTGAACCTTTATTTCAACGCATTTTTATGGAAAAATCAAAATTATTCTTAAGCTTCCATTTATACGTGAAATTGTAAAAAAAATTGTGCGTGACTGAATTCAACTTGGATGTATTTTGAGAACATCACACGTTTGAGCGACAATTTACAACTTTGTTGGTGCATAAATTTCTCAGCAATGCCATCCATTGTGTCGGGCGTTAGGTTTATTATTGTCGGCCCCTTTTGCTCTCTCTCCTGCTAATCCTGACCAACGACTGAACGGCATGATTTATGGATTACTTACAACAACAGAGACATTGGGGCAAAATGATCAGTTAAGTACAAAATCAGGTGCAAATTTAAATTTCTCACTTACAGAGAGATGAGTTATAATATCTAATATTTAATTCACATGATTTATGAAGCCACGCGCTATTTCGAATACGTTTTAATTTTTTTATTGAACTTTCGTGGCTTGATTTTTACCTGAAATGCTGATTTTCTAGTGGGTCATTAATTATTTATCATATTTTTTCTTGGTTCTGTGTTCAAAGCATAATTTTCCCTTTAAATTTGAAAAAA